CAACGATATTTTTATCCCTAAAAAAACAGCGTGGAGAACAAGATTTCTAAAAAAAAAAAACTTTGCAAATGGCATCCTACGAGATGGAGATGCTTGCAGTTTCGATATAACAGATTCTGTGGCGTGCCGAAGAGCTTTACAAATTTCCGACCATGTTTAGCTGAGTTCCCAGATTAGATGGCCCTAACAAATGTTTTTCTTACTTCATAATTTCCGCCTCAGGAATCAATAAACAAAAAGAAAATCTGAAATGGTTAAGGCTCATTAGCGATGTGAAAGGGAAAATTCAACTTTTAACTCCAAATACGCGACCATCTTTGTCGATTCATCAGCTTAATCCTATTTCGAAAGATCTCACTGCGATTTTTTTATCAGCAAAGCTGACCACCTTAACAATCTTATCTCGATGGATTTTTCTCCTTAGAGATTTCTTCAGTGTTGCAGCAACACTCTGACGATGCTTTAGGATTTGTAAGCCATTTCAACTTTCGAAACCTTCTCATATGGTCACAAGATATTTTCCAAGCCATGTAACTTGGAAATCTTCAGCAACTGCTTGTGTTTACTCGCCTTATCTGCACCAGTTAAATGTTGTCCGCTAAGGAGACGATATCAGCGGAGTCTAAGCTCTTCTCTGACAATCGAAAGAATAGATGATCCTACTATTCCAAGACATTCATCAATATTGTCGCTAAGGCAGGAATCATAATTTATGCAGATTCAGTTACTGGTGGATCCATGGATCTGCTTGTAATTCCTGGCACCACGATGACCAGATTCTCGTCCCACATTAATACCTACTTAATCCCTCCATAACTTGACCATGTTCTGGACAGATGTCAAAAGGTTTCAAGCTTTCTTGTATTGACTACGGTAAACATTCCGTTTAAGCAAAACGCGCAATGAGTTAAGGACGCAGATACGCTTTCACAGCTCGTAAAGACAAAACCAATTGAATACTAGAAAAGACTTTGTTAATACAAAACAAAGAAATTAACTAAGTGCATAGAAGGAAACTGAGACACACGCAAATGAGATGACTGCAGTTTTCATCCACCCTGTCGATTTTGTAGTGGACTTTGACCAAATCGACTCATATGAGTTCCGAGCATTTCGCTTGGGCACTATTCAGCTTAAACTTGCACATCATAATCAAATAATCAACGTCAATTGCTACTAAACAACCTGAGTCGTTTATGAGAGCAAATTCAACACGTTCTATAATCCGCGGCAAGAAGTGATAAAGACTGGAGACCGAAATGGAACTGAAAACCGTTTTATTTATATTCTCACACCAGTAGGGTTTTTCCATGAGGATTCCGTTTTCGACAAGGAATATCGCAACATGAGAATTGTCCATCGGCAACATACATTCGGAAATCGCGACGTTCTCAGAAAAGAAAGTATGATGACCGCTCCACAATTCCGTAGTGCTACTTCTTTGTGTCGAACTGAGCGCAGATTTTACAATCCACTATGACCTTTCTAGAGGAATACTCAGAAAATTTGAAGAGGGGGAGAAAATAATAGGTATGAAGATGAATGGAAGAAAATCGAGTCCGTTAAAATGAAGAACAAATTGATGTTGATGATTAAGCAACGATGTCTGATTCTGTGTATATCAGTTGCATTTATTGAATGTGGAACAAACACGACATGAAAGATGAGTTGTACAGATGGACATATGCCAAACTCCTAGTGAACCTTCGTTTTCTTGAGTCATCTTTTCGAAAAGCACCAGTGAGGCACGGACGATGCTCAAAAAGAATAGAACAGCATAGGTAGTTCTTTGACCTCTTGACTGACGAAGTCACCAACAAGTTGATAATCCCAAAACAATACGCTAGCCTGTTTGGCTTAACGGTCTTCGCACTTTTCCATGATTCTGGAGGATGTGCTGACACCCCAGTCACACCGAAAATTAAAAAGTCGACAGACCATAGACAATCCATTCTAAGAAATTTAGGATAACACACAGGATCATTGAAAAGTAACTCGCTATTTTAGGACAGTTATAATTTAGTTGTAGATTCCAATAATTTTCTAGAACACTTTATGTATGTTACTCAATGTACTGGAATTAAATCCACAGTGATTTCGTTTTTAGATTCACTACTTTGTTCGAACTTTGACAGCCTTACAAAGATGGTTGGACATCTTAATCTGCAAGAGGTCTACAGCTTGTGGTACGACACGAAGTTTGGAGATTCATTGTAAGACGACTATCTGAAGTTGACGCATCGGCGATAAAGAATTGTTATGTAAAAACTAGTGGCTACATGATCTGTAACCGCCATTCGAAAAAGCGTTCTCCCTTCAAAACTGCAGCAATCCGGAGGCAGTTGGTGCAAGCTGTTCAATAAATGTTTACTTATACCCCAAAATAGTCAAATCGATAAGCAGAAAGGAAAGGCGTGTCATTTCACTGTGTAAGAAATTTGCTCAAGGTAATGTACTTGAAACCTGCATTATTAAAAGCACTCTCTGCTAAAGATTGCGATATTTGCACGCAGTTTCGTGGGCTAACGTTGGCTTGGTATGAAGATTCATCTGATCTCTTTAAAAATATCCTCTGGAGTGATGAGGCGGAATTCTATACCGGTGGGTTCGTGAAGCAGGTGAGGTTAGGTGGATGAAGTTATGTCTTCCATGCCAGAAGAATTCGTGATGAAATCAGTTCATGTGAATCTCGGGTGTCCTGAGAGACTAGTCGCGAACGCTGATGACCATACCAATTTAAAACAGAACTTCATGCTATACGCTTTCTCCTTACATTCGTTTGTTACTGTAATAATTATAGTTGTTGAGAAAAAAAATTATAAGAACTTTAGCACAAGGAGTTACTTTTCAATGATCATACACTTTGAGGGTAAACGTAAATACGTCGATTAAATGATTATAAAAATTTCTGGAGAGGTTCCGAGAAGATGCAAATAGGACAACCTAGAGGAAGAATGAATGTGCTTGTTGTTCACATCAAGCAGTTGCATTACTACTTGAACACGAAGTGATACTTGATGGTGGCACCTTGATAAAAATAAGTCGGTACCAAAAACGACTACTGCAACGGAACAAAGGAATAAAACCAATGAAAAATACATTGGCAGCTACAAATTGAGAAGGTGGATCATCAAAAGACCCGAATAAGTACTGCTACCAAGTTCCTGCAAAATGGAAGGAGGCATATAGTAGCAAGATAACAAAGATAGTAGCAAAGATAACTAAGACATTATCTTATTACTGCAAACAAAGATCACCTAGGAAGCAGTGAAAAAAAATTAAGAGCGAAGAAACGCCTACAGTGAGATTTTCTTTAAAATGTGGAGGCTCTAAAAACCGGTTAGTTTTCTTAAATATGCCTAGGACTGCTACATCTATTATAATGGCTCAGTTAATGATTACAACTGGATTAAGACCTTGATAAATCGTTGCTGCACCACTTTGTCAGTTAGGCGTTCGCGAACCGATGTTGCACATCCTTCCAAAACATCTTTAGCCACATTTTCCGAGCGAAACGCTACCTAAATACAAAGTATACCTAAAGCAAGTTATAAGGCGAAAATATAGAAATGAAAAATCTTTTATAGAACACTACGAAAATCGAGCAGAACCATAAAAATCCACCTGAAGTTGACCAGTGGTCCGCTTAACTGCGCGTAATCTCCACATTCGAAAACGGCGGAAAACGGATTGGTCGTCGGTAAGCAACTATAAAAAGTTAAAATATATAGCTAAAAAACACAAAATGTAATGGAAAATAAACAGCACTTTTAAGTTCAGAGAAATGAATCAGATGTACTTTTAATAAGAAAATCTGGGCAATGCCAGAAATACGTGGCATGTGAAAACCATACATTCTGATCAGGTACGAATTCCTTAACGGTTGCTGGAATGGGCGGTAATGGAGATGGTACGTTCAAGGCGATGTGATAGCCGTTTAGAAGTTTTTTGTCAATGGCAAACAACGGTAACAGTGGCTCTGGCAAGGTAACCTTAAGCATAGAAGCAACATACAGAATAGAGATATGTAAGGAAGCTGTGAAGGCAAAATAAATTCACCATTTTAAGCAAATCCTGGGCGGCTTCAATAGCGCCGTTGGAGAAATGGAACTGGAGAAGTTCAAAGCGACTCTACAAGAAACTAAGTTGGTAATTGAATCTCCTGAAGCACAAACGATAGATTTGTCTGAATCAATAGTCGAAGAGCAGATAATAAAACAAATATAACAACATAATCAATGCTACCACATTCGTGAAGGTGCTGATTTTTCTATAACTGATGTTTATTTCTCTATCACTACGGCAACCAAAGATTCGAGATATTAAAATATCTACAAAAAATTCCTCCATCTGCCACTTTAATAGTATAAATAAAGTGCATAACGTATCGTCTCAACCTCGAGCTTGTTTAAAGTTATATTTTCTAAAAATCAGCAACGAAGTTATCAAAATTTTCCATGTAGGAGCAGCAAACATAAACCTAAGCGATACATTACGAAAACATTCATGTCCTACTGGACAAAATCTCTCTCGTCCAATCACTTCGGACCTTGAATAGAGAGCCATTTGTGGTCTTCGGGAAACTAGAATTTTGCCTTGGTACAATCAAGAAAATCGACATGCGGTTGACAAAGATCTGTATAGTCTACTGCTTCTTTTTCAGTTGATGATTATGTGCTAAAATAGGTCGTTTAAATCTAAAAGCGGCCACTGTCTTCACAATGAATGCACTATGTTTGATTCGTAGGGATGCCAGAGTGCTAAATATGTTGAAAAGCAAACAAAACTGTAATAAAAATAATAAATTAGAAATCTAACTAGGAATACCAGTTGACAACGGAGTACGTTTCCTTGATTGCTTGGTGTTTCCATTCTTCATTACAAATACATAGTCCGCTCTCTTTTTATTTCACCCACTTACCACGCTTACTACAACATTGGCTGGAACCACTGTAGTGGATAAATCGAGCATAGGACGTGGAGCCCATTGACAAAGGACGTTATTTCCGATGATACCCACGCTCAAAGAAAGTCCTCCTTTCTAAAAAATAGGACAATCGACAGGGAAAATGTTTCAGGAAATGCAACAAAAATGGTACTAGTATGTAAAAAAAGTCTGAATAGTCAATGTAAAAAAACATTCGTAAAAACTAGGAAACAAGTGGATAAAAAACAACATAGCCGATTAGTGACAGTATGAGACATGCCCACGCGTATTTATAAGTAAGAACTACAGTTTTTGAGAAATTTTGTGCATAACATCTCCACACATGCCGCGTGTAGCGCAGCGGCGGGAGGCGTCCTGAAATACACATGGCATCGATCCTCGCGCCCCAGGTCCACTTAAGGATTGATCAACGCCGATAGCTTTATCCTTTATCCTTTAACGTTTCCACGCAATAAAAACTGACTTCGACGAAAGGCGAGAGAAAACATTCCATGCGTGGAATGATGAGATCTTGTGCATCTGTTATGAACTTCTCCATTGTAGCTACCGCCTGTTGTAACCATGACCGCGTCTCCATAACCATTTTGCGTATGTTTTCATGTTTGGTAAGGTTTAAGTCAGAAACGAGAAGCCTAAACTATAAGTTAAAGAGTAAAATGGACCAACGAAATCGCATGAGCTCTAAACAAACGTACGGATTATTTACGGTTTGCTTCGCTGGAGGTGGAGGTATTCGATACCGACGATCGACAGACAGTGTCCAACGAGCGTATAGCCAATCAGCAAACTGAAACTGTTAAAGCAGCCATCCGCTCGTAGTGAAAATTAGACATTTCGTATAAAAACAAGGATAGACAAGCACGATATGTTTCTCCGGAAAACATGGGCGTAGAAGATGGAAGAAAAAAGGAAACTTATCAAGGACAAGGAAACCCACCTTTACATCGCATGGGCATTCATTTGACCGACACATGCCAAGAAAATTCTCCACCAGTATTCGAACAGAAAGAATCTCGTTGCTGAGGATTAAGATTGTATTCACAACTGAGGATCTTGTTATGCCTATGAGACTGGACTTACTATTTATCGATTAGGTAATCGATATCCCAATCAATGTACGCGAAACATGCCGTGGCACATAAAAAAAGACAGGCAGCTTTCCTCTGCGAGAACTGGACATCCTCTAAGAAACATCTAGTGAACTTATTTTAAGAGATACATGAAAAATCTCTCCAACCGTTACAAGATCCACTTGAAATCAGTATTTCATGTTCCTTCTGTGTGCTTGCTGCCTGTTCGGCAAACTGAAGAGCTAGTTCACCGACGGTTTCTGTAAAGGAAACTATAAAATGATCAGATCTCAAAAAAGGAACAGGTAGCTCTAGGACCATTCTTCATTTAGAGATGAAAATTCAATGCGAAAAACTAGAACTTCGGCGCATATCTTCTTTCTATAGCCAGAACAATGTGTCAACAAATGGTGGAACACTTCAGGCAGTATGTTTCAAATAGTGAACATGAAATCCTCCAAAAGCAAGCATATCATCTTCGAACTACTCGCGCTGGATTCTTCTACAATAGCAAGGTATCCGCATGTTTTAAATTGTTGATCTTACACGAGGTAGATAAATATATTTATTTCGGCTAACGTTTCGACGTCTTCATCTTCATCACAGTCGATGATTGTAGGATGGTATCTTTTCTTCAAATATTTCAATACGGGGTATTTCTTAAGATGGTACACTGTTCATTAACATACTGAAGAAAACGCTTAAATTTCATACGCCCCTATACTGACGGCAAAAAATTTCCAAAGTTGTTTTTCTAAGTGTAAATTTATCCGAAGTTCAATCGTTCGAAAAAAAGGTGAACATAAAAAATATTTTATACATCTCTCAACGCAGATGAGACAGCTGAAAAAAACAGCGATACATTGGGAATATCACTACATCTTCCCGGATGACATCGCAGTCGTTCCATCGCTTTGCCTATACAATTTTTTACGAAAAAAAGGTATGCACACAGTTTCTAGGCTCCAAAAATCGCGACTTTATCGTTGTAGAGCAAAAAGGTTGTCTACTGTTGGCAAGAATTTGTAGATTCTAGCAATTCCCATTTGAACTAATCACGCAAAATTGAGCCGAAATGATAACGTGTAAAGCTTAACAGTGCAAATATTTCCGACGGACACACGATTCACATATAACTCACGTAAGCACTAAGACCAAAGTTTTAAGAACTATATTTAAAACGATGCTGCCGAAAGACGTACCTTTATTTCCTGGCACAGTTAATAATTGTGAAAGCTTCCGCACATCAATGAAGTAGTCAAACCAGTTCTCTTCAGGTGGTCCCCAGCATTCATTTAAATTTTGTATGGTGTCTACGATCTCCATCATACAACCACTTCAAAAATAACCCTAATCACGCAACCTGTAAAAAATTATAGAATATATAGCAACTTTCAGCATAAATACACGACGTAGGTAGAGGAAGCCGCGAAAGCTCGTTGGATATTAACTCTCAGCATTTCCTAAAATGTTTGTCCGCGGACTAGTTGCTAACAGTTAGCCACTAAGTGGGGCGAGACTGAGAGCTTCAAACTATGTTTGACTTCAGCTACTTCAAAACCTTCATTAAAAGAGCATTCTGTAGCTTCACTGAACACTGCTACGTCATATTCTGTGCAGTGGCTTATTAGAAGCTCTTAACCCAACTTTTCCCTGGGTACGCTATCCATTAGAAATTCGTCGAAGAAAGGTTTTTTGTAAACTCTTAGGTATCCGGAGCAAGTTCTGACGAATCGTGTGTAGCACATCCATGTCGAATGCGCATTGATTGAACACAAAAATATGGGAAAAAAAACTCCCTTCAGCAAAATAAAGGGTCACAAAGGATGCGCGTCTAAACCAATGCATGCTGTCGCTATGCTCATCCAAGTTGCTTTGATGCCGTCATATCAGCGATATGCATATGGTTACTTCCTTTAATCAATCAAGAGTTGATAGCTCGTTTTCAGTTGCACACCATTTTACAATCCTTTATGGTATAGTATAGAGAATAAAAAGGATAATTCCCTTGGTGTTGATCAATCCTTGATCGAGTCAAGATGCATTCGACTTCACTAAGCATCGTTGGAGGTCACTGAATGTATATCTGTTCTACATAATGACTCGCGAAGATGCATCAAGCCAGTGCTGTTATCCTCCCAAACAAGTCTGCTACCAATTTGGCGAACCTGCAAAGATGAAAGACTTGGTGAGCCTTGGGTGCGGAGATCAACCCCATGTGTACTGCTGGGCGCCTCCGACCACTGCGCCACACGCTCCCTATGATATGGCATAAAGTCCAATTATCTTTGTGCTAGAAAGAGATCTCGCTCCTCCACCAATGATGTATTCGTGGTTATACTCTGTTACTCCTTATAACACTGTACAGCGTCTAATTTCACGACATTTTAAAACAGACTGAATATATAATTGTGGAAAGCATTGACAACCAAATTATTGCTATTTCATGTAACTCTGTGAGACATTGTAAAGCTTTTCATTGAGGTGTTTCGAAATACTGGACTCTGCACGTTTCACAATTGATGGTAGAAATGCACTAGTTGTCCCGAAGAGGAACAAATTCACCAGACAGAATTCCAAGCTTAAATATGTAGACAGACTAATAACGATCGACTGCAAGTGATCACAAGAAGCACAGCATTGAACAGATGTACGAGAAACGGCCTACAATGGCCATCTATAGATGAGTCATATCACTAAGAACATGCAATAATAAGGCATGTATTTTCAACGAATTAGCTGAGATTATGTACTAATGTTTAAAGCCTCTACACTAAACATTCACGATAAGCTCAATAAGGTCCAAATATTACATAATAAATAATCTCACAGCAAATGAAGAACAATCAATGAGAATTCATTCTTTACAAGTAAGGTATCTAATTTAAAGAAATGCAAAAAACGGTCAGTATGAACAATCCGCTTCCTTAACATTCGTCCACACTGTCTGAAACAGCAAAACATGACCCATTTTGAGTATCCTGGATCTTCTTCATCAACTTCAAGACATTCATTGTTGGGACTAAACAACAGAGAACATCAATTAAAGGATAACAAGGGCACGATACTTGACGTTAAACTATTTTTAAAACAAGAATATGCATATCTTTGATCGGTATAACATCATGTTACTCATAGTAATGATAAAAACTTCTGTTAGGATTAGAGAATCTTGTAAATGTAAGCCGATGAGCTTGTAATTTTCATGGGACAAATCTCCTACCATAAAATTCAAAACGGAAAAACCTACAGAAGCCGAGTCCTTGCAGAAATAATATCACACTCTCCGTGACAATTTCTGGGCGTTCGTCCAACACTAGCCCGCATGCATCAGAAACCTGAAGAAAACCAGTGGCTTCAGAAATGTGCGAATAAAGAAACTACTAAGATTCGTTATTAAACGTTAAGGCTTGCCTTAATCCAATCGGAACGTGAAGGATCCAATTTCGTGTTAACATCCACTGTATCATTCACAAATGGACTTCCAGCACCAACAATTTGAAGAACAGGTACATTCAACACTGGACCAAACTGTCCATCACGGGAAATCGGAATAGCGGTGCGGCTGCAACGATGTCACTAGTTAAACAGCTAAAAAATCCTATAATGCAGATTTGTTCTGCATAAACTCCTTACAGAAGGATGGAACTTTTGAGATTACATTCAAATCCACAACTCAACCACAACGCATCGGTCGTTATTACCAACCGACCATTTATAAAAGGCAGATAAGAACGAATGAAGACTACGTCTTAACTGCATGAATGTAAAGAAACAACTGATTAATCTCAATCTAAGCAGCAATGGAGAAAACATCTTAAACTTCGAATAGAAAATTATAAATTCTTTTAAATAACATATGATGAACTTTCTCAATACTCACTTCACATACGATTCAATGAACATCGCCAAGTTCTTCGGATTAGACAAATGTTGGAAGTAGACGCGATACTGGCGCACTATGTCTGGACTGCATTCATCCAGACGACGTCCGAAGTGATGCCACATCAGATAGTCGACAGTGAATGTGTTCATTCCGGTACCACGAAGATATCGAATGTTCATCTGATGCAGGCTTCATCCAGCTTTACAGCAGAAATAAGATGAAAAACGATTAGAAAAATAGGAAGCGCATTAATTTTGCACAACAATTCCGCCTCCCGCTCAAACTTTCAATTTCAGCATAACATTTTTGCAAATCATATGTAGAAACACCTCAACAACTGTTTATAATCAACCCTAAGGTTTTTTAACTTAATTTTTTCACTTTACTTTTGAATACTTACACAGCTATGTCAATGGGATAGCAAGTGAATATAAATAAAAGGAAATCCACCCTAGCCTGTAATTAAGCTTGACTATCAGGCCTTTCTAATGAATTCAAAGTCAGAAGTAAGGCTTTAACATGTATGGGGCGAAAATTAGGGTAGCTGAGGCCGAATCAACACAAATTAAATTGCTATGGTACTGATCAAACAAGACAAGTTGAGCACAGCATATATTTCGTAACACAAAGCATTACTATCATTACTATTACTTTCTAAAAAACACAAGAAGTTCAGGGTTACCTTCTGATACGCCCATTCGATCCATCCCGCAGCATTTGCAACACAGCTCACAAGAATCAGTGCGTCCAGTCGACGCTGATTTAGCAACTGCAACGATAATCGATTAAATTCTGACACGTTGGACTTTATTTCGAACTTTTGAATAATAGTTTGTTAACAGAAATAGACTTCGAGTGCGAGATTTTGCAATGAATCTTTGACGTACGAGAATTTAAATAGGAATAAAAGATGATGTCAAATCCAATATAAATGAAGAACACCTAACTGCATATCTGAGAAGAACATTAGCTCCCACTCCAACACCAAAAGCAATGACAGATTGCAGTCTAAAAGCAAACAAATCAGGGTTTGTAAAAAAAAAAAAAAGGAAAATAGTGTAAAGTATAAACGTCTACGCAATATCCAAGTAAGGATCGCTCTTATCTTCCACGATTTCGATATACCAATTTCTTTTTAACTGACTGCTTTTAATCCTCCCAACGGTTTACCGCCTCATTGTGGCCGGGTGGCGTTCCTGGGTGTCGGATATCGACGTACAGCGAGGGATTCATCCCCTCAGCAGGGTCTCCCAAGCTACGAAGGAGTCCGGCGTTTCAATCAGGAAGCCTAGCTAAGAGTAAACCAATACCGGGATCTACCACCGTCTTGGAATCGAAGTTGCATGGTGGTAAATCTCACTCTGATCCACAACGGCTGCGACTGCTTGTGGGGATGACGACCTGGGGCAGAGCTTGGCCAGACAGACAGGACCCCAAGGAATCACAATGGCTAGACCAGCAAAACTCCGAAAAAGTGGAGATCATGTTGTGGCCCACACAACCAGCGAGGACGGGTCATCCAAGTGTCCAAATAGGTAAGATTACTTTTAATGCTGCAAAAATTACTTTCCGTGGCAAAATGAGTTGTTTACGAAACTCGCTTGAAATATCAACCAAAAATACTGCTCTAACGAAATCATCACAGAATCTTATTCTCCAAAGTATTTAAACCGTACTTAGGTTTCAATGCCATCTCAGTTCTTCTGGAACTGAAAGTTATTTTTTCTATACGACCTGACATCATTTGTTGGGCAGATCGCTGCGTTTATACACGCTTCCTTAAATTATTAGAACTAACAATCCACGAAGATCTTCGTATTTCGCGCGTGGGTTCGTTGTTGCCTATGGATTTTCGGTTTTGCAATATTAATGCCACTGAGTGGTGGTCGTGTCGCTTAACCACGTTATCCTGAGACAGCTGTTGTAAGGACTTCCCTGATCTCACTCACAAGCAATGCTCATCTTTGGTGGATTGCAGGAAGCGATCTCAAACAAGTTTGGTACTAATTTCTCAACCCCGGAAGGATAGAAGGCTTGGTGGACCTCGAGCTGGGCATAACCAAGTGGAACACCATCACTACCACTACGTTATTGGACCCTAACGGCTATCATACACAGATAAACGGAAATCTTTCATAACAACATAACATTAAGAAAGATACCATAATGAAGAAATAATGGAGCAAGAGACATGAGCAAGGATTTTGAACAAAGGAACAGTGTATTACTTACTCGAAGTGACTGACGACGGTTTCGACGACTTTAGCAAGACCATCCATTGATGGGTAGTCATACCTTAAAAACAAAACAATGGATAAAAAAACCAAATAAAAAAATCAAAATAAAATTTCTCTTATACTTACGAATCGGGAAGAGTTTGTGCATCAACTTCTTGTCCAGGTGCATTAATGTTGTAAACACAAAATTTCTCCGTAAACTCAGCAATAGACACAAATTGGAAAAAGTTTTGGAAGTTGCTCTCAGCTAAAGTAGATAACTTTAGAAGGAGAGAGCGATTAAGAGTAATAATCACAAAAATCGTAATGGATTTAAATAACAAAGTAACTGATCGATACAGATCAATAAATCTATCCAAATGAAACATTATAAATACTCACAATCAAGTCCAAGGTCATGAAACGTGATCAGAGGATGCTTAGATCGATCACCATAGATCGAAACCTTCACTTTACCATAAACAGTATCCACTCTTTCCTAAGATAACGAAGAAAAAAAATAGTATGCCAACTTTGTCCCGAAAACATGAAACATAAGAATTACTGTGCCTGAAACTGTTTCACTCATACAACGTTCGCCTCATTGTTGAAAACGTAACCGCAAAATTATGAAAATAAAACAAAGCAAACATGTTTTCGAAAGTCATAAAGAGGAGTCAAAGCGACACAAGTTGCAACGGTTGCACATTGTGACGCACAGACTTACTTGGATTCCTAGATGAACCGTCCTCATTGGTTGAGCGTACCCCAGCATAACTTCCATCTTTTCGGAGTTTTGCTGGTTTAGCCATTGCGGTTTTTGGTGTCCTGAGATCAGCCCGGTCAAAGTCTACTCCATATCGTCGCCACCACAAACAGTCGCCACCCTTGTGGATCAGAGGGAGAATTGCCGCCATGCGACTAGTTTGATGCCAGGACGGTGGTGGATCCTGGTATTGGTTTAATCTTAGCTGGGCTTCCTGGTGGAGACGATGGACTCCTTCTCAGCTTATGAGGCCTTGCCGAGGAGATGAATACATCCACTGCGCATCCCAGCCTGGGACCCAAGAACACCTCCCAGCCGCTATGAGGCGGTAAACCGTTGGAAGCGATACACCGACTCATAAGAACGTATTCGTTTTGCCCTCTTGTCTTCCATGTAGAATATAGGAAAGGAATAACAAAACCTCAAAATATGTATTGACACATTCTACTGATTACTACATAGCGATATTTTGACAAACACCAATAGAGACTAAGAAAAAAACTTGTGCAACCCTAGCTTTCTGTTCCACCACAGAAACAGTTGTTCCACAGAAATGTTTCCAATAGACAAGAACTTTCTCGACAAGTAAAGTTATTAATCCGAAAAAGAAAACAACGGTAGAACCGAACCGCATTCATTTCCTGAATTGGATTATCGACTAACGGTTGCAAATCGCTGCTGAAAGCGTGCATCTCCATTGACCTAATAACCAGTTTTGAAGCACTCAGTACTGAGAAGAGAAGTTCCCTTAAAAGTCACAAGCATATTGTAAGTGTGAAGTGTAAACTCACAAAAATCAAATACAACACAACTAAAACGACGAAACACTGGACTTTTCTCGAGAATTCCCCCAAGACTGAAGGCTATAGGCAGAAGACCTTCTAAAAGAGATTTATCGGCGACTGTTACTGATAGACAAGCACGAAATACAAAAACTCCCACGTCAACAGGCTAATCACGTATTTTTAAATGTGGTTACTGTATATGAAAAAGTGGTCTGTAACTACGACATATGAAGAAAATTACGCCATGACGTCAGTTAGCATTGGTTCTGCTTGCCAGGATTTATTCGGACCACTCCATGACTGAGTATTGTAGTTCAGACAATGCAGTTTCGAGACAAAGAGGCTGTCTTCTATCCTGGCACCTAATTTCATTTTCTCGCTTTGCATCGTTAAAAAGTCGTCCAGTCTTCGAGCGAGCATCAGTTTTCTTGAAGAGCCCTTGCTTATAGCGAGTATGAAAACGGCATGAAATGACTTTATTTACTGGGTAATGTAGTGGTATCTCAGCTTTTTGCGATCTAGGAGTCATGTGTGCGTGACATTCCGTATAAAGTAGTTTTTCTTTTTTGTTGGACTAGGACGCAATTCCAATTTCTACTATCCTCGAGATGGTTATGTTTCTACGTGTTCCAAACTAAACTAAATCCGAAACGGTTCTCCGAACGTAACTACCTCTGCTACTGCTATACTGAATGTACATATTAATATGTACCAGTAAATAGTTCTTATCTTATTTTCAGATTTCAGTTTTTCAGGCGCGTTTTGCCTAATGGTCGGAGGCGCCCTGCAATACACCTGAGATCGATCCCTGCGACCGTGACTCACGAAGCCTTCCATCCCTCTGGCGTCGGTCATTTGGTGTTAGACTTTTCTAGGAGGGTAGCAGTACTGGCTCGATACATCAGTAGGCCAAAGCGAATCATTATAAAAGCCAGATATGCATTCGTTCAGCTCCAACGATGCTTAATATAGTCGAATGCATTGCGCATTCCTCAGGAATTGATCAACTCCGAAAGCTTTATCCTGTTAGTTCATCAGAGTTTTTCACATTACTACGTTCTACTTACTACTTCATTGGTTACTTGAATGACTTGTCTTTTCATGTCGTGCAAGCTGGGGGGTATAATTTCTTCTTAGTTGTTATTTTGCTGGATAGGCTAAATATTTTGTGTAGAGTTTCGAGGAGGCGATTACAGATTACAGACTCAGGTCGTCTCTGCAGTCAATCGCCGACTTTTGTGCATCTGATTACCTGCCCAAGAATCGGTTAGGTTTATTGCAGAACAGTTGCATAAAGCATGGAAGAATAACGATTCCGGCGTTGATCTATCTCTTAGAAATGCGCTATGTATTCAACTTCATCAAGTATCGTTAGGAGTGGTTGAGTGAGAGCCTGACCTACACAATGAATTCCGGTAGCCTTGGGCTTCTTCGTTATTAACGATTCTGACAGAAAGCGTATTTCATGAGTTTTAATGTCTTCCGGTTTAAATTGAACCCGACTGAGCAGAAATAGTAAAGCATCGGTATCAAGAAGGAATATCAAAACATTTTTCTGGGTTTCTTTTATAGATTTGTGGTTGTATAACATAAATATTTCGTGGATGCTGAGCTGTGATATATATCAAAGGTGTCACCCATCCAACCTAAGTTGGGCACAAAATCGGTATTTCAATTCGGAAGCCCATTCATGAGGAAATCAATGTGGAAGATTAGTGCCATTGTAGAAAAAACTTAGTCATATCCACAAGATTCACAAGGGTCGGCAACTGCTTGTGATGATGATTTGAGGAAGCTCTCTAACATATCTATGTCGGAAAGCTAAAGGAAGAAAGAATCGCTCAAAGGGTTTTCTGGCGTGCTTAGTCTCGGATTGCTTGTGAAGATAGACCATCTAAGGACGGATCTAAGGAAAGAGTGACCCAAGTATCCGCGCAACTATGAAATTCCAGTCTTTTTTCTGTGGTTCGTTGATGGCGAACTATACCAAATACCAGTGTTCATAACCCAAACATCACCACTCAATCCTTAAACGAGTTGAACATCTCTGTGGATAAGTTGGGATAATAATAAGGTTTACTAGAAAGTGCCATCGATGGCAGTAGCGCTTTTAAGGTAGATCATTATGGTTTGATTAGCGACCATAATATCGACTTTGGAACGTTCATGAGAACATCAGGTAAAAATTTGATGAACTCGCAAAGAACCAGTTTTTAGTACATCTTGAACTGGTCCATGCCATCTATTAGACACTTTCAAAACCTGTAAGAAGCGATTGAGTCATGGTTTGTGTGGGATGTCATTAATTTTGGATTAAAGCAACTTGTCCATGACGTGCTACGCAGAGAGAAGCATACCATGCAACTGAACCACCCTAGTCATAACCATATCCTTTGCAACATTGGCTTACGTTTCCTTAGCTCATGTAAACAAGCTGCATGGAGCTGTACCCATGGTGGAGTTCTGAATAATAGAATGATTGATCAACTGAGGTTACCTCAATAGATGATTGTTGTCAAGGAAAAGCATAAATAAGAATTGTACCTAAGTATTTGAGAGTTAGATGCAAGACATCTGTGTATTTTATAAACTTAGATATCACATAGACTGTCCGTGTTTACATCTCTTCCGTTACCTAACTATCATCTATGGAGGTGATATATGATAGATATATATGATATATAGATATAGATATATATAGATATAGATATATGATGATATATAATATGACATATATATATATGATATATAGATATGGATATATAGATATGATAGATATATATGATGATATCATGATATGATAGCTTGACTCTTGTTTGAGAATATATTGAGGGTCAACTGCTAGTCAAACTCGGCCTTTGTTGGAATACTGAGGTAGCCATGCTAAGGAGTGAGTATTACTCATGAGGGAGTCCAACTAAAAATCTATAGCTGGTATGAACATATGAGAATTCACTGTTCTTTTCATGGCTTCTGAAGCAACTTTCTAAAATAGCAGAGTTTTCAAATACCCATCATCCTATTTTTAGATTTAATATTATTCCTGAGACTTCCGTAGAAATCACTTACTGTTCTTCGGAAATTTTTCATCAAAAGTTCCATCTATGGAATCGGTTCTTCCAATTCTTCAGATTACCAGATTTTGTTATCATTTCATCATCATATGCGAAAATGTATTCCGTCTTTAGAGCATTCGTTTTTCGGTTATAACGTCCGTCAGGGCTATAAATTTCTAGTGTTTAAAGATAGTTAACTGTGAAATGTAAATAACATGTTCTTCTTAATTATAAATCATTAGGAAGGGGAATTATAGATGGGAGGTATAAAGGAAAAGACGTTTAAAAGCGACCGAAAGTTATGAACATTAATTACATTTCGATAAGTGGTTTCATTTTGGCTTGTGTACGTACCATTTAGAAGATTCGAAAATTACGGGTAGTTCCTTCGCTAATTACGACCGCCAAAGAACCTTTTACTGTTGCCTGACTTCTAGTCTTTCCTCTTTAGACCGTAAGAATGGGTATGCTGTGAGAAGCGGTTAGTTCCAGCCTCCATCATGTGAGTTTTGCTAATGTCACTAGAAACCTCTCTCAGACCTTTAAGTGTTTGTTGATACGAGAGATTTATTGTATGTTTACTTACTAGATCGCTTTTGATGAAACCCTGAGAAGTATCTACTTACAAATCATTCCCTTCTTGTCTTCAGAACAATTTTCGACCTCACGATGTTTATTTTTTTATTTTCTGCCTTCTTTTATTTTTATGGCAGAGTATTAAGCGAAATACAACCACAAAATTGCTGAGAGATTTGCAAAACTCCGGACCGCAGGTGTCTGTGGAGGGGAACGGACGCGTTATTGTCCTTTCCAGGGAGTAGCGCGTTCACCACCACACCATGCGGGTCCTTCGTTTCGAAAATTTTCGAACTAATCAGGCACCTATTCTTTTATGTTTGTTAAACCCTTTTTACTTTCTGCGATTATTAAGCTAACACGAGGTTGGTAAAAAGAATTATCCGGCCGACGTTTAAGATATCTTTCTTATCTTGTTTTAGTCTATTTTTCAGTGAGCTACTTTTCAGTTTTTTCATTAATCAACCAATCTTTTTATCCCATTGAAAAACCACCAAAAACGATATGATGGTTTCAAGGTGTATTGCCCCAAAATCGTCTTGATGCTTTGTAGGTTAGTAGAGATTGCGAAGGAATCTTTATTATCCAAGAAATTCTTAATAGCCTGGGGCGAGTCGAGCAGGCGGACAGTGGTCGCAGCTGCCGGGCGATCCGTGGTCTCCGGCGACCCCTGGACTTCCAGCTGGTCCCGGTGGTCCAGGTGGTCCTCGCTGTCCTAATTTTAGAACGATTGAAAATCTGCTAGGTTTCATAAGATTACTATTACTATTATTACTCACCTGGCTCTCCAGGAGCTCCGGGTGATCCGTTGTCTCCATCTCTTCCTGGTTGCCCCGCCTTTCCAGGTTGTCCAGGTGCTCCAGGACGCCCAGATGGTCCAGGAGGTCCGCTTGGTGCAGGACCGCCGGGAACCAACTTGCCAGGTTCTCCAGGTGGTCCGCGCATTCCAGGCTGACCAGGTTGTCCAGGGGGACCAGGTGGTCCTACAGGACCTTGCGGTCCAGGTGCTCCGTCGTTTCCGTTGTTACCCGGTTGTCCGGGTGCACCATCCTGTCCTGGTGGTCCAGGTGGTCCCGGCATTCCAGGAGGAGCTTGACATGGGCATTGTGGTGGTACTGGCAGCAGACGATCGTGGAGTTCTGCATCGGGTCCTGGTGGACCTGGTGCACCTGGACCAACTCCTGGTTCCCCATCTTTGCCATCGGGGCCGGGTTCTCCATCGGGACCGGGTGGTCCTTGCTGACAAGTACAACACTGGGCTTCAACTTGACGAGTAACGCGGAAGAGGACATTGAGTGGGTCTTCGCCATCTTCTGGAGTAACTTCTACCATCTCACGCCACATGTCTCTTGAACGTGACTTGCAATACTCAACTTCACCCTAAACTACGGATTTACAAACCAAATAGGTAAATCATTTTGAAACCATTAACTAAACATTCATGCTACGCCTTATTTTGTATCAAATGCATCAAGTACCTTATATTTCTAAGGTTTTAGCTGTTGTAGTGACTATTACTTTGTTTTTAGCAAATATCTCAGCACTATTGTGGCTGCACTTAACATAATATCCTGTCGTGAAATATTCTAGTAGGCAGTGAATATAAAGTTAACATTACTTTGTTAATTCAGCTTTAGTTCAAAATAAAACGCCAAAATCTGAATTATGTTCATGTTATTTATCTAGCTTCTTTCTTTCCTGTTGAAGAGTATTCTGGCCAAAATTATCAGCTTAACTTTAGCCGTAGCTTTTAACATCGAAAGGGCACCGTGCCGTCACAATGAGAACTGTTCGCACAAGCTTCCTTATGCGAACCAAGAGATTATGGAATCTAATTTTCAGACTAAAACAAAACCTGTTGGAGTAAGTATATTGTTTGAACTAACTTGAACAGTTGCCTGTAACGTCTGAATATAGTGGAATACCAGTGGAAAGGTAACCAAACATGCAGAAACGGCTACCGTTGAGAAAACGACGGCTGCAAAAGCTACACCTCTGAGCGAGTCCTTCTTCTCGTCCATGTACTGTAAAATGGTTAAGATCTAATCAACAAAAGATCCTAACTGAACGGAGTCTTTAAACGCATTTTGCAACAGAGCGGTTCAAAATGGTTTAAAGTAATGATAGGAAGAAAAAGTGGTAGGTATTGGTGAATACTTTAGGTCTCGAAACATAAGAGAAGGCAATTTTTTTGCATTGTAGACAAGTGGTCAAGGTGATAATTGGGAACGATTCTACAAATACCTCACTACCACTGGCAACTAACATTTCTGAGCCCTAATGTTAAGGGTTACGTTTTAAGCATTTCATAGATTAGGAGTGCTTCAGAACTCGTCTACGCTCCCACTCAGGAACTTCCCATAAATGAAATTTAGCCAGTTTTCACTGGAGTGCACCAGAACTGGTTCACGCCGTCACTGGTTCACGCCGTTTTCTAAGTGGTGAAGGCGAAGAAAAATGAAAACCAATATATATTAACAATTATGACGAATTATACCGATCACACAAAAAGTTCCTATTGATCTTTTGTTTTGTAAACATTAAAAATTAAGCAAATTGGTCACAGTGAGAGTTTTGAATTCGAGCAATAAACGGCACAAGTAAGAATGAGTATCAGGCCGGATTTCCAAGAACAATGAAATTTTCCATTAAACTGGATTTGAACAACTTTTTCGAAAAGTTCATACTTTTCTTCACTGTGGGCTTTACACAGTTTAGTTATGCTGCTTAGAAAATAATTTTTGTTTCAAAATTGAACAATGCAAACAGAGCCTTAGTCGTTTGGTATATCATAGCTGTTGAAAAACACTTGTGGTTTTTTTTCTTCAAAAGAGTCATATTTCGTACGATTGCCTGTTGTCATAGTTGAATACTAGTTTGAAATAATCTGGTTATAGGTGAAGAACTGTAACGGGTTAACTGGGCAATATGAGAAACATACGTTATTCAGAGAGACAGTAAAATGAACTAGGTCGGGGAGGTGTCGATCTCTCTTCTGGTCGGATTAGCTTTTATGCGGTCGCTAAGGTGGAACGAAACACCGTCGCGTACACTTAGGACGAATGAGTGTTTACGAACATGTCGACGAACACCCGGCTAGCATGAGACATACTGTCAGGCTGGTGTTGTGGTGGGTGTGCTAGGCACGATCCCCCAGACGGTGGTTTATAGCCGATATGAAGGATGGAGTGTTCGACATTGATCATTACTCTCGAAATGCATCATACTGAATTTCATTAAGCATCGTGGGTGAGTGTATATTTTGCTTATGGAATAACCTGCATTGGCTTCCCGACGTCTCAAGTAAGTGTTGACAGCCTTCTAGACAGTTCTGGTATCAATTTCTAGACAATGGAGGGTTGGAGGGAGTGGGTATTTTACTGCGCGTGGTCGAGCAAACGACTGTGTGAATCGCAGGGTCATTTCTAACCACTGCGCTGCATTTTCCTCCTAGCTGGAACAGAGCAGTGAAGTTGATGCGGTGAATGTTTCATAGGAAAAGAACTTTGTGCGCTGTGGTATTACTGGCAAAATCAATAAATGACCCCAGTGCGGCACATTTTACTATTAGTATAATTGTCTTATGTATTCTTTTATTGATAATCTAGCATGAAATTGATAAATTATCCTTATTCGGTTGACGTTTCGACGTCTTCTTCTTCTGTGGAGCCGATGGTCGGAGTCGATAGTTCACAGGCCCTGTACTCTCGACGTGGTGTGTTCGTCGTCGTATCGAGTCGGATCTTCCTCAGTGGAGGATCGCTCGGATTATCGGCCCTGAGCAAGGCGAAGACGTCGAAAAGTTAGCCCAATAAAGCTCATTTATGAACCTCGTGTTAGCTTCTCAGTGAAAGAATATACGTTGTTTAGTTATACCGACGTTGAAGGAAAATCGGTTTCCGTAATAATCGTTTCATTTCATGACAGCTCGAATTCGAAACAACAGTGACGAATCTTCTATTGTCCTAAACCTCAACTTTCACAGGAAAAGAAACCATTAAATTGTTAACTTACTAGGAAAGAGCTTTGAGACGATCAGTTTCTACAACCTCATTTTTCCAACGTTGAATTTGGCCTGTGTTCCTTCTTGAAATTCCTATCGAATGGAATTATCGAATATCTTTGAAACTTTCTCAGCGTAGTTCACAACGGTTCTCATTGAGTTAACGTATGATATGAAGTCACATCGACGGGAAATTTTACAAAAAGATTTGTGCCGTCTCACGTTCTTCTAATAATGTTACTTTTCCCAAGGTGCATATAATACACACGTTTTCTCGTCTGATGAAAATCCGCTCTCTGGCAGAAAGCTTGGAATATCGGAATAGATTTGAGTTACTTTCTCAAAGCCGGTTTCCATTTAACTTCGGTATGATTCGAGCAGATCTTCACTTCGCTCCACTGGATTCGATTCAATTAAATAAGGAAGGCCCACATCGCACGGATGAACGGCAATGGACGATCGAGCCAGATCATTATGACTAAAGAAGAGAGAGGCACCGAAGCGTTAAGCGAAAAAAAAGTCTTAACATTCGAATTTTTTGTACTCCACTGGGCTACGAACCATATCAGTTTAGGATTGACGAAACACGAAATAGCATGTTTTTCCCGACCTAGAAACTACAACAAGAGTATGTGGAAATTACAGCAACCCCTCAATTCTGTAGTAGACTACTTTCGTGGGAATTCATACATCAGAGTGTGCTCGGTGTAAAATGCTTACTTTTTGTATCATCGCCTTCTTGCAATCCTTTTTATGAGCATTAGGTCGACGGCGATGTAAATCACACGACGTATTTAATTCTTAAATCGTGCCTCATGGAGTTCAAATTAACCATGGATTGTCATAACTTGAAAAAAAAAGATCCTTAATTATGATTGCTGATGATGAATGAGGTCATAAGACGAGTTACACTTTCGAAGCTGTTTTTTGGAGTGGAACGGGGATGAAATGGTGTACGTTCATGCACGTTCAGGAACAAAAACATCTCATAGAAGGTAAGCGCAGTGCTTGGGTGATGACGTTATTCTCGTCGACAATGAAGCGGATGGATCACTACTGAATCCGAAGCCAGCCCTTTCAAATATTCTCATGGCTTCACAGAAATGTTGGATACTGGGGCTTTAGTCATGTCATGAACACCGTTATTAGACAATGGGTCTACTGCCCGTGTAGTTAAGAGCTAAAATCTGTTCATAAGGTTCAGGTAGGATGAGAAGTGCTTAGCTAAACTGGAGAGAGTGTATTGACGGTAAAGAATCAAGCCATATGTAAGACGCTGCTCTCTTTGGATACTATATTTGTGAGTTAGATTTATATATATATACATATATACACATATATATACATCTATATACATATATATATATATATATATATATATATATGCTGACTGGGTGCATATTTGGCCTGTACATATGTCTCGGAGTGGCTTACCGATCTATCGAGTCAGTGCTGCTATTCTTCCAGGCAAGTCTGGTACCAATTTTCCAACCCCGGGGAGATGGAAGGCTTGGTGAGCTAGTGGCGTGGGAGTCGATCCCGTGTGTATTCCAGAGCGCTTCCGATTACTATGCCACACACGCGCCAATTGCACATTGTGCAGTAATGGCATTATATCACGTTAGGTCAAAATCTTTTTATTAGTTCAACTACTACTTCTATATATAATAATACCACTTTGTGAGTGCTAATATGGCTGTGAACTTTATTCAGCGGTGATCAATCTTTTGGAGGTGCTCCGCGTAATCACCCCTATTCATAATATCGTACTTATTGCTTGGATACGGTTCGTGTTCACTGCTTAAGGGGTCCCCAGCACAATTTCTATCGTTTCGGAGTTTTGCTGGCTTAGCCACTCTGGTGCTCTAGAGTCCCGAGGTCAGCCAGGCCAAAACCTGCTCCTGGTCTTCACCACCACAGGTAGTCGTCGATTTTATGGATCAGAAAGTGATTTCCCACCATGCGACTAGCTTGAAACCACCAGGACGATGGTGGAACCTGGTATTGGTTCGTTTTTAGCTGGGCTTCCCGATGTAAGCGCTGGACTACTTCGCAGTCTGTAAAACCCTGCTACGGGACCAATCCCTCGCTGCACATCATAGCCCGACATTCAGGAACACGTCCTAGCCACGATGAGGCGGTAAACCGGTGGGGAGAAATGCATATTGAGGCTCTACAACGGCTTGTGAGGCCCTACCCGCTTGTTATATGAGAATATTTTTCTATACAAATGTCATGTCAGTGCTTTTATCTTCCCAGGTACCAGCACTGGTTAACTAGGTATGAATGAGGACTTGGTTAGTCCTTGACGCTGGAGATACCAAAATGTTGGTGTGCATGTCATATCATTTATTTTGTTTCAATAAACTCTTTTTTTCATTATCAAAAGTAGTAAATGCGTTATCCTCGTTTATAATCGGCATCCAATTGTCGTGTGGTGGCATATAAGTGGGTGGTTGACATGGAAATCATGTTGACGTATAAGTTAACATATCTCTTCCAATAAACAAGATCACCGGCAGGTTTTAGAACTATTAAAGAAGATTATTTGCTAATTGACAGAAAATATGTCTACGAAAAGAACTCCAGTAGGTGGCATCCAGTAATAAGTGACAGAAATCCTGAACGGAAACAGTATTCTGCAGAAAACTTACTTGGAAGGTGAGAAACTTCATCTTATGGAAAAAAATACGTAGTTGCTAGCCCTGACGATTAAATACGTAACCTACGATATGCAATGTATGCAATACGGTGGGAAGATATTAAGGACTTCTAAAATCAAACCGGCGTATCTCGAATCATACTGAGCTTTATTAGTAGGAACCACTAGAATGCGCAGATTGCGAACGAGACGCTGCTTTTCGTATTCTACGAATAAGTTGAAACAGTGGTATTATAGCGCTGGCGACACTTATTTCTCCAATTTACTACTTCAAGGCCCATAATTTGAACACGAAAGCAGGTGAACAAGTGAGATCTACCATAGGGTGACAGTGTTCCCTAATATGTCGCTTCTGT